GGTGGCTGATCTCTTACTGTAATTTTTAGTCAGCCTCGTGGGCATAGTGTTCGGAGTAAATTGGCAAGTATTCATGTATATGAATTAATAAGTCAGCTCTTTGATTCTCTCAGAGAAAGAAATATTCTTTAAAGCATAGTTTGTATTAAGATTAAGGTCAGTACTTTCGATACAGTCTTATGTTTCTATTTTAGTGGCATAATTGTTTGAAGAAGCTGTTTCATTTGTCTTTGTTTCCACTTGTTTCTTTAATCTTATTAAGGAGTGTCCTTAGGGGAGCTTCTCCTTAGCCTCCCTGGGCTATTGGAACTCAAAATGTCTACAAAGTTGAGAGAGTTGCCAACACCCTTTCCATAAACTTCAGTGGAGCCTGACAAGATTCTGATAGTGAAGGTGAAAGAGGCAGAGCAGGCCGGTGATCAGGACTTCAGTGTCTATTGGAGTAGCTGCTACAACCCAGAGACCTTCAGGCAGTTTGGCTACCGGGATTCACCTGGGCCCCAGGATGCTCTAAGCCAGCTCCGGGAGCTTTGTCATCTCTGACTGAGGCCGCAGGTGCACACCAAGGAGCAGACTGTGGAGCTGCTGGTGCTGGAGCAGTTCCTGGCCATCCTTCCCAAAGAGCTGCACGCTTGGGTGCAGAAGCATCAGCCAGAGAATGAAGAGGAAGAAGCCTTGACTGTGCTGGAGGATGGGGAGCGAGAGCTTGATGGGCCAGCAGAGCAGGTAAGAAGGGCATCTGCGGGGATGAATGACCAGACTGAGCCAGGAGCACTGGCCCCTCATTGGGGTAGAGTAAGTAACCTGTATTCCCATCAGCACACCTGGATGTGTAAGGTGGTGAATGTGCTCACAGGTGTCCCAGAAAATAGAACGTGGTTCTGCTGCTTCCCTCCCTTTTCCTATGTTCCAGAATATTCACTCCATAGTTTCTTCTCTCTTGTTTTACCCACAAGTCCCAATCCCAATATGATTTTCCTTGTTTAGCCTCAGTTATTCCTAATTCTTTCCAGATCTTACTGTTTAGACAAAGAGAGGACATGCTTGCAGAGAAGCTAG